ATCAGCGGCCATCAGCAGGGCAGGCTGCAGGCAGTGGGATCCTTACACTTTGCAATGGTATATTTGATTTTGTATGTCTGAATAAAGATTTGCCAAAATATTTCAATATTTTACATAAAACCCAAAAATGTAAAATTGTGTCTGTGCATGAATTTAAACGCAGTCATCCACCAACGAACTGCAGATTTTGCAAGACAACGTTTTTAATTACGAACATGTTTTTGCCTAGATGTGTGTCTGTTAGTGTGTTCATTTGTTAGCAAAATATTTCATAAACTAGTAGATTTTAAGGAATTGTTATTGAAAATTATTGAATATTCATCTATAATTGGTTTACGTTTGGATCCGATCCAGTTCAACATGGTTACAGCCAAGTGATGTTACAAAACATTAAAATGGCTACAACTCCGCTAACTGTTACAGATACTGAGCTTACATTCTAATTAACACAAATTGTGTAGTTAATAATAATAAGTGTAATAATTGTGCAATTCTTGAATTGCACCGCTCGGGGTGGCTGCTGCTACATTCATTCTGAGTTTAATTCCTCTTTTTTATGGATGTAAATTGCTTTTTTTTACATTTTTTTTTATTATTTCCTCTGGTAGCAGATGCTGTGCAGCTTGAAGGATTTTTACTGTAACCTTTAGACTTTTTGGCATTTGTTATGATGCGTAACCATGGCAACAAGGTGTTTTTTTATTTTATTTTAACAACCACGAGCATCTGATTGACATCTCAAAATCTCAAATACCTCAACTATAGTCCCAAATCCCAAATAAGTTGAAAAGGAGGCGCCGTGGATGAATTCTCGTCAACCTGGCGGCTGTGCTCGTTCGAGCACCTGACCGCCGAGATCCTGGAGCTGGTGGGAAACTCGGCTCGTGACAACGGGAGGACCGGGATCATCCCCCAGCTCCTTCAGCTGTCTGTTCATGATGACGAGGAGCTCGGCAGGCTGCTGGGAGGAGTGACCATCACTCAGGGAGGAATACTGCTGCCCAGGAGGACGGAGAGGCCTGCCGGATCTGAAAGCATGCTGGATCTGGGTGGACGGATCGGTATCTGTGGCCAGATTATTCAGATTTGCTGTAGCAGATCCTTCCTGACCACAGCTATAAGCATCTATAACAACTCTTGAATGAAACCAAGATGATGAGCTACAAAAACACTTAATTTCCCTTTGGGATTAATAAAGTATTTTTGAATTGAATTGAACTGAATTGAAATTTAGTAGCTTAGACACACACACTGTGCATGAAATGTCTGTGTGAGATTGTGCTGAATATTTTTGTCAATATTTAAGCTGTGATTTTGCAACATAGTATGATCTTTTATTGAAACTCTGTCGTGAGTGAAAAGCATTCCTTCAAAGGATACTAGACCTGTAAATATTCTGAAACATTAACATAAACACTCTAAAACTGCAGAGTGGTTGTGTAATCTGCTTAAGGTTTTTTTTTTTTTTTCCAGCATCTGATGGACTTGTTCAAAATGCCTCAATAAAAATGTTTTTTTTTTTTTTTTTTTTAATGAGGATTACTGTTTTTTCCCTGCATTATCTTCATCTCTGCTAATCCGCAGCAGCGTGCGGACCTTTTCAGAAATTAGGTGCAACGCAGTTTTGTGTTGAAGGGTACAGAGCGTCACGATGGTCAGTGCACTGACAATGCAGGAGGGAAGGTAAATCAGTTTGTGTTGTGAGGATTAGGGGCACTGTAACACAAGAGAGAGAGCGAGGGGGTGGGGGGGGGGGCACATCCATATTAGAGCTGACATTTCACTTACAGAGACATTATCTGACGAGACTCGCATGAAAACCCTGACACTTTGAGATCTGTGTATATTTTTACAGCTTCTATCTAAAGACCTTGATTTTTGTTGCTTAATCCAGGAAGTTTTGCTCTCACCGTGCCATTTCACCAGGAATTATAAAAACAATTTGGAATACAAAGTCTGAAAAAGTTTGGATTACAAACATCTTGATCGAAAAAGAATTTGTCGGAGGATCTGGTTTGAAACCATGATTCCACCTAAGCTGCTCGTGTATCGCCGCACACACTGCGATGTTAACATAGAGACTGTCCACGAGACGTGGAGACGAAAGAAGTCTTGCGGAGATTTGTTTCAGAATGGATACAGGGTGAGGCAGGGCCATCATGGACGCCGGGGAAATGGAAGCCAGACTGGGTTTTATTATTCAGTTTGGTCCTGTTTTCATGTTCTCTCCAACTGGGGTAAGAGCCTTAGTGTGGATGGATTATCTGGAGGTGGATACAAAACATTTTGTTTGCACATTTGTCACAATAACAATAAAATGATTAGTTATGTTTTTAATGAGGATATAAATACACTCATATGTGCAAGTATGTGCAGATAAATATATATTTTTTATCACAGGCATAAACATGGTTGCACACATTTCCCATGGGATCAGAATTGTTATGTAATGAAACAATGGAGTGGATGTCATATTGTCCTGTAATCCCTCAACAGAGCTGTTTTTGGATTCAGTCTATGGATTGCACTGCATTAGTTTCCCACTGACTGAATATTTCATGATGCATTCTAAACTATTGTTTCCTCCCAGCGTGGGAACGTGTTGTTTTATGCCTTTAAACTGCAAAAACTGTGGGTTGATTTTTTGTTTTTCTACAGAATTGCCGCTCTCTCTGCTGCACGTTACGAATACTAATCCCTTTCTCTGTGTGCTTCCCTCTGTCTTTCTTGTTGACACAGGTTTAAGATTTCTGAGGGCACTGAGATTGATTCAGTTCTCGGAAATTTTACAGTTCCTAAACATTTTGAAAACAAGGTGAGAATATTAATTTGTCATGCACCTGTAACAACATGGATTACTTCTGTGCTTTCAAAGAATATTGTGATGAAACTGTTTTATTAAGTGAACAAATTGAAGCATTTCTATAAATGTTGTCCTATTTGTATTTTTTTTTTTTTTTTTTACTTCTAACCAGCAATTCCATCAAGCTGGTGAACTTGTGTTCCATCTTCATAAGCACATGGCTTACAGCTGCTGGGTTCATACATTTGGTAAGGGAACGTTTGTTCGGGACGCTTGGTTCCAGGAAAGAGCTGAATGACTGATGTTATATGTTTACACTTGTAATGCTCAGATATTTATAATCCTCTCTTATACAAAGCAAAGCATTGCAAGAAAGTACATCAAAGCAATTTTTGACACATTATTTTCCCAAATGAGGATTTGTGAAGCATGCTTTGCCCTCAATGTTATCCGGAGGACTCATTTTAGTGTGACACTGAAACAAATATGCCAGATGCACGTTCTGACACAACCTGGGTTTGAATCCGCAGCCTAGGATTACAAGACTGTGGCACTGCCCATTACCCCACCCCCACCTCCACCCACCCACTCACACAAAGGAAACAAGACCACTTTTTGGATTTATTATTTAAATTACAATTATTGCAACAGCCTATATAATCCTGCACAATGTATAAAACTGTTTATTTATTTACTTGTTTATCTATTTATTTTCACAGTGGTGCCTCAGTGCATGGTTTGCATAATTTAAAATGTTAATTGATATACAGAACACCTTTCCATGAAAGTTATGTAAATCTTTATTAAAACATATGCTTTAATTTATGTAAACACTACATTTAAACAATGATTAACCTTATTATAATTAAATAAAAAAACACATACAGTATTACTAAAGCTATAATTATTTCTGTATTTTGTGTTTTGTATGATTCCTGCATTTTGTGGCCCAGCTCATTCACTCCACCTGCATTCAGCAGTTTCACCGCTAGATGGCAGCAAAGCTTAACATATGACTGAAACAATTTCTAACTGGATTTAATCATGTTTGAGGAAACAGTTTCTCTTTGCAAAACTGTGTTTATAAAGTGGTGACAAGAGTCATGTCTAGTTTTTATTCACGTCCCTCTCATTTCTGTTCTAGGTGGAAAACTCAGGGGATCCTTGGGAAAACTTCCAAAATTCCCAGTCATTATCTTATTGGGAATGTGTCTACTTGTTGATGGTGACTATGTCTACGGTGGGCTACGGGGATGTCTATGCAAAAACCACCTTGGGCCGCCTGTTTATGGTCTTCTTCATCCTCGGTGGTTTGGTAAAATCAGATTTTTCTTTCGCCTTCCCGCACTTCTCTTTCCCAACATCCACATCCTGTCTGTGCTCATTAATTGACTGCCCAATACTTGTAAAATGTTATAATAGTTACAATATAGTAAATGCTAGTTAATGCTTTTTATGTGTTTTGTATGATATGTTAGGCTAGAGTATTAACCCTCCTGCTGTCCTTGGGTCAAAATGACCACCGAGGCCTCAGTTTTAAAACTTGAGGGGAAGGAGGATTACAAGGGCAGCAGGAGGGTTACATATCAAACTTTACTGCCTTTTCCTCTTCTTGTTATTCCTTTGCCACAGTATAGTTTTATTCATCTGTTTGGTCCACCACGTCTCGTCTACTGTAGTTTCAGGTCTTCGTGCCCCCTCCCCCACTCCCCTCATGTGTCACTCCTCTGTTGGATTAGAGTTTATACATTTGTCTTATAATGTCATCACTGTTCTTTTAAAAGCAGTTGCGGTTTCAGGATACCCTTCCTTCCGTGTCTCCTCCCACAATTCCAACAAACACAGGGGCAGGGCGATGGGGCTTAGGCTAGCCTGACTGTTACCATAGCAACAGCAGTCTCCCACTCCCTCTCAGTCACCTTTCCCTGATCTGACATCCTGCTATTGGGCTGCTACAAGCCCCCCCCCCCCCCCCGCCCGCCCCCCCAGCTGCTTTTAAAACACCGTACACCCCCGCCCCTTATCGGTCTGTTTTATAGTTGGTTCGCGT